CCATTTTTAAATAAAGAGATATCTACTTTTTTTCCTAGCAATGCCGGAGCTACTGCGTTCTGCAAAGTTAGCTATAGAGAAAGGCCAAGCTCAAGGTCGTAACGAAACATATATAAAGCAATTGTCTGACTACATTGTTCCAGCTCTTGTGGAAGCATTACATAAGGTTGTTCATTGTTTTTCACTTAAGCCTCCTTGATCTAGGTGTAATGATTTAAATATTCTCTGAATTATGAGATTGCAATTTATGTGCAGGAACCTGATACTGAAATCTGTGCAAATATATTGGATGCATTAAATGAATGCTTACAGGTTTGTCATTTTTCTTTAAGAAATTGTATGAATTTTCCATTGTGGCCCTGTTTATTTTACTTTTTGCACTTACTCCGCACCAACCGACCAATTCAGTAGTGCTGGAATTGCTATATTTTTCCCTGCAAGGAAGTTGTCAATACACTTATGATTAGAAATGTTAATTGGATACTGGATACTAGTCACATTCCATGCTTTGCCACTTCTATTTTAGTTTCTTTTCCTTGCAGAATAAAAAAATTGGTTTGATTTGCAAGAACTTTTATAATTAAATATCTGCCTTGATTTTGGGCTTGAACTTGGAAATGCTGGCAGTCACTGCAGTGTAGTACTAATTAATTGTTTTGTAGTGGCCAATCCTTTATTTCAGTTTGTATGGAAACACCGAATGAGCCAACTGCGTTGGGAGTAAATTTTTGTTGAATCAATCGTACTTTGCTCTGTTCAAAAAACAAAAAATTTGTTTTTTTGCTTTGTTCACAAAACAAATAAATTGTTGTGGTGTTTTCATTTTTATATTGTGCATCATTTCTTGAGTATGGCCCCATTCATGCGCCTTGTATCTTTGCTTTCAGACATCTGGACCACTTTTAGATGAAAGCCAGGTCAAATCCATTGTGGAGGAGATAAAGCAGGTGATCACTGCCAGCTCCAGTAGAAAAAGAGAGAGAGCGGAAAGGACCAAAGCAGAAGACTTTGATGCTGAGGAACAGGAGCTGATTAAAGAGGAAAATGAACAAGAGGAAGAAGTTTTTGATCAAGTGAGTTTTTTTAACACAATCCCTAGGTAGCTCGTCAATAATATTGTTGATTTTTTAATTTGTTGGCCATCGTTTATATAGTGTGGGACTTTGTCCTGGTTCTCTAACACTTTTTTTTAATTGTATCAGGTGGGAGAGATCATTGGAACTTTGATTAAAACGTTTAAAGCCTCTTTCTTGCCTTTCTTTGATGAGCTAGCATTGTATTTAACGCCTATGTGGGTAAGTTACGTCTCACGGGTGCAGCCTTTCTTTTGGTTCCAACTTTTGGATTTTAGTTGTTTATATTTGCTTGATCACTCCCTAGAAATCTTCACTCTCTGGAAGAAGAATGTTAATTTTTTTGTCAGCCATTATGTTTGAGCTAATTTGTTTGTCTTCTGAATTATATTATTCATTTTGGGTCCTAAACACAGGCCAAGGATAAAACACCTGAAGAGAGAAGGATTGCAATATGCATCTTTGATGAAGTTGCAGAGCAGTGTCGTGAAGCAGCTGTAAAGTAAGTCTTTTTTAAATATAACCTCAGGATTTACTTTAAGTAATTCTTGTCATTCTATACTCATATTTGGTTCTGATTTGGTTGGATCAGATATTATGACACATTTCTTCCTTTTCTGTTGGAGGCTTGCAATGACGAAAACCCTGATGTTCGACAGGTCTGATCTCAACGAGCTGTTTCAATATGTATCAGGTTGCTTTTCCTCATTAGTGTTAAGTGGTTTTTGTTTAACTTTTGTTTTTCAGGCAGCTGTATATGGGCTTGGTGTTTGTTCAGAGTTTGGTGGAGCAGTAATTAAACCTCTCGTTGGCGGTAATTCTGCTTGCATATATTAAATAGATGAAATATTTGTGTATGTTTATGAGTAACATTTTCTTGTGGCTTTGTACAGAGGCTCTATCAAGGCTGAACGCTGTCATCCAGCATCCTAACGCCCAACAATCTGAAAATGTAATGGCATATGATAATGCTATTTCTGCTTTAGGAAAAATTAGCCAATTCCACCGTGACAGTATTGATGCAGCTCAGGTACTAACTTTTATTTGCTCTGTTGTCATATGGTTTGATCAGAATTTCTCATTGGTGTTGTTATGGAATATACGCACAAAAAAGTAACGATAGAGTCTTGACTGTGAGTATCCGACTACTGTGCTATACAGTACTCTCTAATACCTTTTTTGTGCGCATGCTCCTCAGTTTAGTGCAACGCTATAACTTATCTTGCCAACTATCTCTTTCAAGAATTAAGATTATATCTTTTTTATTGGTTTTATTTATTTGTTACTATTTATTTCATTTTTTTTCATTGTCAACCTTTTGGAATTTTGCAGGTCATTCCTGCTTGGTTGAACTGTTTACCGATTAAAGGTGACTTGGTTGAAGCCAAAGTTGTTCATGAACAACTTTGTTCTATGGTAGAGAGGTAGAGTTTCAATTTTCTTTTACTTGTGCCTTGTTCTGTTACTTGTTGCCTTTTCATATATTTAACTTTTGGAATATCATTACCAAGCAAATTCATAGAGGTGACACCCTTGTAATCCATCTACAGGTCTGATCGGGAACTTTTGGGTCCCAACAATCAGTATCTTCCCAAAATTGTTGCAGTGTTTGCAGAGGTTTGTAATCTAGAATCTAATTTAGCACTTGTAAGCTATATTTCTCAGTGTCATATACCATGATCAAAATCGATGCTTCCTCAACAATACATTTCTTATTATTCTATTCCATCGGTTTGTTTGAATATGTGTATCTTATTTAATGATTGTTATTGAGGTGAAGCAATTATAGGCACAACATTTATCTTATATCATGATCAAAATCAATGCTTCCTCAATAATACATTTCTCATTCGTCTATTCCATCAGTTCGATTATACGTATCTTATTTAATGATTTATGGTATGGTATAGATGTGTGCACAGTAACATGTATTCAAGCTTTCCAGAGTATTTACTTTGAGGGGTATGGTTATTCATGCAGGTTCTATGTGCCGGTAAGGATCTAGCAACAGAACAAACTGCAAGCCGAATGATTAATTTGTTAAAGCAGCTTCAGCAGACGTTGCCACCAGCTACATTGGCCTCAACGTGGTCGTCCTTGCAACCCCAACAACAGCTTGCACTGCAATCTATCCTCTCCTCATAAGTACCTTGGCTTGCATTGCGCACATTGCTGCTTTCAGATACACTGTTCCCTGGCCTGCGTGTTCATTGTACGTCACCAATTCTTTTCCATAATATGTTTCCCATCAGTCATTTTTGCGAAAAGTTCTACAGCAACCCCTCAGCATCTGATCAAGCGTGGAAGTCATTGTTGCGGTTTGGTCAAATCATTTTTTGTAGGGTGTATATGAAAGTGTTAATTTATAGTGACGATTTTGAGTCTAAAAGAAAAGAAGACTTGCTGTTCCTGTTGGTGCGGGTTTCTTTTTTTGTTTTGTTTTTTTGTTTTTGTTGGTGCCCGAGGTTATGAGGGCTGTTGGTGAGAAAATTCTCGTGGGAGTTTTGGTCTCATCCTGTCTTTGTATTTTCCTATACCTGCGATGTAAGAATCTGTTGATGAAATTATCGATGGCGATTCTTTCATTATGTTTTCAATTTTGATCCCCAAAGGCAATAAAATTGGCTTTATGGTATAATTTCAACGGTATATGCTGACATGCTGTTGTGTTGGATCGATATATCCTTGAGGAGTGCGAGAGTTTTAGAGCACCCAAAGATGACATTTCTGGTTCCATTTCTTTGAGAAACAATGCCAAAAAACAAAAGCTTGGCTCCTCAACGGCATGTGGGAGTTTCTAGAATCCCGGAACCAAAGTGAGCTAGTCATAATTGGACCCGTCTCGAGGACCCTAGAGCTTGAGAGGAGGGGCCAACGACATGTAGGAGTTTCTAGAATCCCGAAACCAAAGTGAGCTAGTCTCATAATTGGGCATATCTCAAGAACCCTAGAGCTTGAGAGGAGCCAACGATGTGTAGGAGTTTCTAGAATCCCGGAACCAAAGTGAGCTAATCATAATTGGGCCTGTCTCAAGGACCCTAGAGCCTGAGACAGAAACATGACTTGGGAAGCTTGACTTTCAGAAATCGGACCTAAAACGTGGTGCACGAGGCTCGGACAAAGCAACGATCCGTTACAATCCAATCCTATCGATCCATAGCCATTAGAGCTTTGAATCTTATTTATCTGTTTGGTTTTTGGTTTGTATCTTTTTATGATGCAATGCAAGCCAAGTGTTTGGCATGTTTTACGTAAAGATTCCACCAAACACAAGAGAGCGTGCAGCATGAGATTCCTTCCCCCTTTTTTATAAGAATACATTTGGAGGGGACCAAATTTGTGCTCCTTGTGTCATGCCTTCGTGCTCCCACGAATTTTGCTTCTATCTCCGTTGACCAACGACTTTGGTGGTGGTGAAGACAGAGGAGTGACCACGACAACTACTCACACCCCCGGGCCCTACCCTACTTTCTAACCGTTCTTTGACTTAACCCATTTGTTTCATTTTTATATTTTTCGTCTTCTTAACTTCTTATATTTAGAAATTCTAGGTGCAGGACGTATAATTATTCTTCTCTAGACAAGACAAAGTTTAAGATAGAGGGAACACTTAAAGATGAAAATATCACAAAATAACTTACGTATGACAATATTATGTGGCGGCTCAATAGTTAGGAACATATTTCAGGTCTGTATTCTAAATGAAACGTTTTGATTCAACTCATGATACTGGTAAATCACACGTTGATGATCAGAAATCAAAAGAAGCTAAATATTGCTGTGAATCGTCAAAAAAAAAAAAAAAACTAACGTATGATTTGGTCGCGAGTGAGCATTGAGAAATCAGCCATCCTTCAATAACGAACAAATACAAATTGATAAGGTATCGAGAGGGCTGACAAGGGAAAGAAAACGAGCTTCCCACTACTACCAAGTACCAAACAAAACCTTTGCCTTGTCCCAACTTTATATACAAGACTCCCCCATTCTTTCTCTTTCATTCATTCACAACTTCTCTTCAAACATTCCTACGGAACATGAAGCCCCAAAGCACTTCGAATTTTCTTTTCTTTCCTTTTTAATGTCAAATGCTGTTAAAAGCGCTTTGATTTTCTGAAAGTGCTTTTAGCCATTACAGAAGCATTCTCAAACAAGCTAAGGTTCTCTCTTTCAGCATCTGCCATGGAACATCAAGCCCCGAAGCAGCAAAAGGGAGTCTTTGCCAACAAACAAGGCAAGTCCAAAGAGAGGACCAAATCCAAGTGCAAGTTTGTTGGGGTGAGACAAAGGCCATCCGGGAAGTGGGTTGCAGAGATCAAGGACACAACAAAGAAGATAAGAATGTGGCTTGGAACCTTTGAGACTGCCGAGGAAGCTGCTCGAGCTTACGACGAGGCTGCTTACCTTCTTCGGGGTTCGAATACCAGAACCAACTTCTCCACTCATGTCCCCTCCAACTCTCCACTTTCTTTGAAGATCAGAAACCTCCTCAACCAGAAAAAGGGCTTGAAACAAAGCCCTCCAAGTTCCAACCCCAACAGCTTAAATTTCACCCCTATAGCTACGACTGCTAGAATTACTAACAAATATACCACTTTCAGTGACGGTTCATCCAACTCCATTGCTACTTTTAGTGAGATTTTTCTGCCTAATTGCAAAAGCCAGAAAAATGTTCAGGTGTTCGATGATGCATATAGACCAGACGTCAGCAACTGCATCGGTGTTCTTCAACCGGGGTTGTTTCATAACCATTTCGGTCGCCAGTGGCCACTCTTAACTGGGTTTGATCAGCTTCCAGTAACCCACGAAGGGAACGATCTAGCGAAAGACATTGGTATGACATCGTCACCTAATGTTGCAGCAGAGCCAGAAGTGACAGAATTTGAGCGCTTGAAGGTAGAGAGGCAGATTTCAGCTTCGATTTATGCAATGAACGGAGTGAACGAGTACTTGGACAATGGGTACGACTCCGGTGATGCTCTCTGGGATCTTCCTAGTCTCTCTCAGTTGTTCTGCCTCGGCTGATGGCGACTCTTCGTCTCTTTTTCTGAGTGATCTTATAGTTTTGATTCTTTTGAAATGAGAGAATTTAAGGGTTATTCTTGAATCTTGAGAGTTTATGTTTAGTGCAATGCTTTTGAAAGCACGAGAAGCGTAGGAAGCTGTACGATATCAATAGCTTGTACTTCCATTTAAAGATGCAAAATGAACATCATCTTCAAAGTTGCATGGAAGGAATGAGTATTGTAACGATTATAATTCTTGAGTTCATGGCGTTTACTGAAACATGGTTATCTGAATGATTCTAATTCCTTACTTCCCCTGTGTATTTATTAACACGTATGGAATAGAAGAAGTCCGTAATTTGATACCTTAAGAATCAGGAATCATATCAACGGGGGTTGCTAGTTGATCGCATCACTCCCATTCCTTCTTTCCCTTCCTCGATTCGCGACTTCTTTCATTCTAAGTAAGTAACATGCCGTAGTATATTGATATTCGAGAATCACTTACCCGATATACAACAATTATACATGTTTGATCCACAATTTCTAACAAGATATTACAAGGCATTCAATTAATACGAAGAAGCAGAAATGAGAGTAGTTGGTGCAATTTTCCAGTGTTGAGGGAAGGTGGAAAAAAATACCAGAACTAATCAACCAGGTTTATCGGTCGTTAAAACATCATATTGCTGCCAACTGATGAAAGCGAAAATTTATCAATGGACCGCATTTTAAAACACATACAAGCTCTTGATCTCTCAATGTTGAAAGATATCCTAAATTCGAATCTCTTCTTCCAAAACTATCGAAACAAAAAAAGGTCAAGACTTTTCCGGTTCACCTTAACAAGTTAACATGTAACTGCATTTCAAGACAGTGGATTGGGGTACCGATGAGTGATATTAAGTTATGAACAATACTTAGCTACTCAAGGATGAGTAAAAACTCTTTACTTAAAAATTCTCAAAATTGTTCGTTGTCAATTTATAGAACTTCGTATTTATAATCAGAACCGTTTATATTATAAATTACCCTATAAAGATGGCTTCTGCAAAAAAAAAAAAAAATCAATTAAAATAAGGATTTAGTCATCAAACTATTTAAAAACAAATGAATGGTATTGGTAAAAGTATTACAAACCGTCTATGTATTTGCTACAATAAATTGACTAAACGACTTTAGTTTTAATTTATTTTTAGCAGAGATGATCCTTACAGTATGATTCATAGTATGAACGGTTCAAATCATAAACACAAAGCTCTATTATTAAAACACTATAAGTTTCGAGTAAGAATTCTTACTTATCTTTGAGTAGCCAAGTATTGTTCATGAAACCTTATTGTAGGAAAATGGAGAAACAACATAAAAACCGTCATATAATGTGTATCGAATTCTCTTCGAAACATCTGGGAAACATATAGTGTAATAATATATTTGAAAGAGAACCATAAACATTCAGGTTCTCAGAAATGTCACTTCATTGATACCACAAAAAAGAGCGAGAAATACATAATCAGAACTTAGTGACGATTGTGACAAATTCACAGCATGAATATGGAAAGTGTACTACACAACAAAAGGAGTGACAATTGTGACAATTTCACAGCATGAAGATGGAAAGTGTACTACACAACAAAAGGAGCACAGATAGTCGAAGATGAATGATAAAACACTGTTTCTCTTGCATTAGAACACTAGTAATCTTCACTTCCCGCTTCATCATCAACACCTTCGGCACCAACTTCCTCGTAATCTTTCTCTAGAGCAGCCAGATCTTCACGAGCTTCTGAAAACTCTCCTTCTTCCATTCCCTCACCGACATACCAGTGAACAAATGCCCTCTTGGAATACATGAGGTCAAATTTGTGGTCAATGCGTGAGAACACCTCAGCCACTGCCGTGTTGTTGCTGATCATGCACACTGCTCGCTGAACCTTGGCAAGATCACCCCCTGGTACAACTGTTGGAGGCTGATAGTTAATACCACATTTGAAACCTGTTGGGCACCTGCAGAATTGAACCACTGAACTCGTCAGATAAAACATATACGTGGACCAGAATTCAGACGGATGATGCACAAACTGTTTATCTGAAAGAAAACTGGTTATTAAAGATCTAAACAACTTGGCATCAAGATAACTTCAGCTTCATGTATAAATCTCCATTCCTACTGTGTATACTGATGTTCGAGACAGTATGGCATTTGAACAAAGTAAGTTTCTTCAGATACATTAGATGTGATTTAAAAAATAAATGAGTATTTTTCATCGTTTTCTTTTCCCCTTTAGGCATTGTTCTTACCAGTCAACAAACTGCACAGTCCTTTTTGTTTTGATAGTTGCAACAGCAGCATTGACATCCTTGGGAACTACATCACCCCTGTACATTAGGCAGCAGGCCATGTATTTTCCATGCCGGGGATCACACTTGGCCATCATGCTTGAGGGTTCAAAAACTGCATTTGTGATCTCAGGGATTGAGATCTGCTCATGGTATGCCTTAGCAGCTGAGATAACAGGGGCATATGAGGAAAGCATGAAATGGATGCGGGGATATGGAACAAGGTTTGTCTGGAACTCTGTCACATCAACATTAATGGCTCCATCAAATCTCAATGATGTTGTCAAGGAGGATATGACTTGTGATATCAGTCTATTCAAATTGGTGTAAGTTGGTCTCTCGATGTCTAGGGATCTCCTGCAAATATCATAGATAGCTTCATTGTCCAAGAGCACAGATACATCTGTGTGTTCAAGGAGGGCATGAGTAGAGAGAACACTATTATAAGGCTCAACAACTGCTGTTGAAACCTGCAATGCAAGAGAATTAAGGCACACATGAGCTTCTTATCAGCAAGTCCTATTAGTCACATTATACATTATGAAATAACAAGTGCAGTTGATTTTATATTCTGATAGAAGCTAGATAAAACAGAAACGTCTTTTTCACCAGAACAATTTATTAATGCTCAAGTATATCCATTTCTAATTCCATGTTTTATTGCTATGCCAGAATAAGAAACTGCTGGAACTTATGCAGGATAGTCATAGTATTTGTAAACGTAAGTACCTGCGGAGAAGGATAGATGGTGAACCCAAGCTTTGACTTCTTTCCATAATCCACCGACAAGCGTTCTAAGAGCAAGGACCCCAAACCAGAACCAGTACCACCACCAACAGCATTGAACACCAGAAATCCTTGTAAACCAGTGCAATTATCGGCCAATTTCCTAACTCGATCAAGACAGAGATCTACAATTTCCTTTCCAACTGCAGAACAGAACCAGAAAGGTTAACTCAACAAAATTAACATAATAAAAGAGTTAATTACTGCAAGATAGAAGCAGCATCCGTTACCTGTATAGTGTCCTCTTGCGAAATTATTAGCAGCATCTTCCTTTCCAGAAATGAGCTGCTCAGGGTGGAAGAGTTGGCGGTAAGACCCAGTCCTAACTTCATCAATAACAGTTGGTTCGAGATCAACAAATATGGCTCTTGGGACATGCTTGCCTGATCCAGTCTCGCTGAAGAAGGTGTTGAAAGCATCGTGGCCACCGCCCACTGTGGTATCACTTTGAAGACACAAAACCATAACTGTCCATTAGGCACTCAAATCATCTACAAATTCAAACATAAAATTGCATACATGGACAAAATAAAACACATACAAGCTTGAATTCGCATTTGTCAATAAATCTTTATCATCACTATTATTAAAAGATCAACAAAGTTTTATTGTTATAACCATGTCCAGAAACCAAAGAACATCATATTTAGTTCCTTGATACTATCTCTAATCTCACCAGACTTGGGACGTATCGATTACAACAGCCTTGCAAAGAATGCAAATGCATCCGATCCAGTCGGATTCAAGCGAAATCAATTCTTTTTCTTTTATGGTAACTTTTAGTTTCGCCATCGACTACTTTCAGAAAATATGTTCTTGAGTTGAAAATATTTCTGAACCCTATGAGAGTCCACTCAAAAGAACCAAAAACTCCAGCAAAATACTCATGTAATCAACAGACACACCCCCAAATAAATAGATAACAACAATCAGAGATCTGAAATTCATACAAAAGAAGATCTCAAACACCAATATGTTAAAAACAACTATTCCAAATTTCCAAGAAACCCTTTAATAACCAATAATGATAAAATCAGAACACATTGATCCACACCACCATTTGAGACAAACACCCACCAAAATAAACAAAAAACCCACAAAAAGTGCATATATAAATAGAAATATCGACGGAGATATGAAAAAAACCTACCTGGGCATCTGGCCATCAGGTTGAATTCCATGCTCGAGGCAGTAGAGCTCCCAGCATGAATTGCCCACCTGAATTCCAGCCTGCCCAATATGAATGCTTATGATTTCTCTCATCTCTCTCTCTTTTCTCTGATAAAAATTGAAACTTTATGAACTGCAGAAGTCTCTCTCCCTGTTTTGGTATACGTGAGGGCTTTGTGTGGTGTGTTGCCCTTTTTCGATAAAATGGGAATGGACAAAGATTTGAAGTCCGCTGCTAAAAAGGGGGGAAAATGAGACAGCTCATCTCTCATCCTCACCCTCCACCTGCCAGCCTGTGGTTGTCCATGTGCAGCAAGCCAAGCGTCCTTCGCGTCTGATTAGCTGTTGTTAATGCTGGATGTTACAATCCACCAACTTCTCCTCTCTAATTTTAATTTATCATTTAATTGTTTCTTATTTTTGGGCCGATTTTGATATTTTATGCTTCGTCGCTTCTCCGCTTTCTTTGGAATTGGATTCCCTCCGAATTCAAAAAGATCTGAACCCACTAATCAATGCATTTAGATCATTGAAATTGATCAAACGACTACAATTATTATAACTTTTAAAAAAATTTCCTATTTATAATTGTTAAATAAAATTTTAATGGTCCAGATGCGTCCCTTGATCCGGTTTTCTTCCTTCTAAACTGTACTCTTTTTTTTTCTTTTCCTTCTAAAAATCAATTTGTCTGTTTACAATTATTTTCTCCGCACCGGCCCATTTGGCGTTGATTGCATGGGATCGAAAGATTTTTGGTTTCGTGGACAAATAGAGCAGGTAGGTGCTCCATATCGTTCCTGCAGTGGAGTGTAGTGGAGGTATAAGGTAATTTGGAAGCGATTTTAGAAACCAATTGCAATTGGAGAAAAAAATCTCAATACCGTATTCTTCGCTCAAAAGCCAAGCAATCTCGACCAAAGGACGAGTCTGACATTTCTGCTTCGTTTTGGTTGTGGGACTTTAC